AAATTTGCCTTTGACCCATTTTTCAGATTTTAAGGGGTTTCTGTTTGTTGGCAACTTACTCTAAGAAGTTGCTACTTGTACTATCAAATTATAAAGCCAAGAAAGGGATTTGATAGAATATTACTGAAGTATGGAAACTCCTGAAATTTTATCACCAACAACTCAGCTAAACTACTGCTTTTTCCTTAACACAACAGACACTCTAAGGCCTATTTTAATACTACTTCCTAACTACTCTGGCCTTGCCTACATCCCATAGTTGTGGCAGCAAAACTATGCATTCACACTTAGAGCTCCCTTGTGGTAGCAGAATCTATTCTTTCCGTCAGCAGAGAAATAACAGCTCTGTGAGTAAAGGCTTCTGTCACCAGCCAGCAGCCAATACAAGGTCTGGGTAGACGCATCAAACCTTCTGCCAGAGGCCACAGCAATGGTGTCTAATGGTGCACTGAGCAATCTGCTAACACTATTACTATTGTGATGCCAGCATGAGCTGTGCAGAGCTGTTAGAAGTTGCTTATGTGGTCTGGTGGCTGTTGTCTGTCTGTGCAAATAGTGTGTAGAGGACCCTTCAAAGTGGTTTACTGCTCTCAAATTTGACCTTCACTGTTTCTTCTTTCTTTGACCTCTTAGCATCTGCATAAATCAGGGGTAGCTATGGAATGAAGGAAAAGTATGTTGAATAGATAGCTGGAGTGGAAGATGCTCAGACAGCACATGGCTTCCAAAGAAGAATGGAGTCTGTTAGATCCTAGACTGGAAACTGTGGATCACAAAGCACCCATTGATCAGAAAGCTGGGGGTTGGTGGTTTCAGTCTGGGGATTATGGGGTAGAAGGGCTTGGGAATACAAAGAAAATAAGAGGACAGGAGACTAAACTATAGACACAGTTGTGTCTGGAAATAGAGAAGCATGAGGAATGGGGATGATCTGAAGAGATAAGGAGGAAATGAGGATGTCTCATACATGTCTGGTGCTAGGGTGTAACTCCTTGTAGCTTACCTGTTTGTTACAATACAACCCAGCTTTCTGTACTCAATGTCTTCTGCCCCAGTGTGAGAGATCCAGCTACCCAACTATCTATATCCACCACGTAGATTCTGAATTGCTGATAATCAGAGATCCTGGTTTTCTCTGATTTTAAAAAATCCCCAATTTTCAGTTTTAAAAAAAAAGTAACCCCAAATCCATATTTTCCCATGATTTAAATGAAATGCCACTAATAGATATAGTGATGTTTCATTTTAATCATGGAAAAATGTGGATTTGGGGTTACTTATTTTTAACTGAAAAGGGGGGGATATATCAGAGAAAATCAAGATCCCTGCTGATGTTACCCATAATGTAATATTAGAATTAACTGTCTATGAACAAAGTTCCATTTTGTTTAATATATTATTGATGTCAACTTCAAAGCATCCACTTGATTATTTCAACAAAGACTACTTGGTCAAATATTTATCACTTGTCCAGCCGTTTGTGTATTTAAGATATAATCTGGAAGAAAAATATTAAGTACAAGTTGCTTGGCATTCAAATACCATGGGCTTTAGTGCAATGAAACAATATGAAGTTCACAGTTCACAAGTCACCAAGAAAAGAGAAATCAAATCAGCTCTATAACTTCTCTTCAATAACTAATGTGCTGACTCTTTCCTGAGAGTCAGATTAAAAGAATTCGGAATGACTGAGCTGCCTGGTCAGGGCTACACTGTACCTCTATATTATGTGTCTACCACCTCACTGTGCAATTACCCTGAACCCTTTTCGACTATGGCTACATGTACAGGAGGGAAAGCAAGGGCTGCATGCTCAATACTGCCTTCCCCACAAGTAAGTACAGAGTGGTCCCAGACCTACATGCCGGCCAGCAGTACAAACTGTATGCTACACCCCAAAATGGATGTAAATTATTCCCCTGCTGCCTCAGTGCAAGGAGGGAGTATGGAAAGGTGTTACACCTTTCTGAAAAACAACTCTTTTCTCATGGTTCTTCTGGGATAATGTCATTTGACAGCACCCCATCCTTAAGTCTTAAACTAAGGGCTCAATCTACCCTAAAGCTCATATCCGACTTACCCACCTCTTAGAAAGAGAAGGAATACACAGCATTCACATATAAGGAGCAATGAAACAACAGCATTACACTGAAAAGTTAATATTCAAAAAGGTGAATGGTAAGGCTCAGATTCCTGTGGGCTATTTCCACACCTATAGTTTGATCTCAGACTGGTATAAATCTGGCACTATATTTTCACTAGTGTAACTACGAGGAAAATCTGGATCAGCAAAGACTTGCAGTGGTATGACCAAATTTGACCCATCTGGATTATATTAGTATAACTGTAGAAATTTTGGAGAACTAACTACAATCTCAAAGAACAAAATTCTACCCAGGTGTAAATATATCTTTCAAGTGACTTAATATAAGGACAAGATACGGCCCTATTGTTTGGTCAACTGGAAATCAAAAGGAAAGTGGGCAAAATTACTTCCTGATATAATCGCACTGATTTATCATAACAGATCAACATCTATACAAATTAAGTTTTAAAAAAGTATGCAAGGGTGATGTGAAGAATTTTACATATTGAAAATAGGGCCATGACTAAATTAAAAAACACAAGAGTTTTAAGGAGTTTTGCTCTCTCTCATGTGTTCTTCACCTTTTCTACATAGTTCTGGAGCCTTAGCTAGCCTATGTTCTGATTACTATCGCTCCTGTCTTCCTCCCTCCCTCATCCTTCTCCCCACAAAATTCAAGGCTTACAACTAAATTTTTACTTTTGTTTTTCTCTTCTGCAATGTCTTTATGCAGAAAAGCCACAAAGCAACACAATGCAACTTTTGGATCAAGGTATTAGGGTTGTATCCATATTGGTCTAGAGGCAAAAGGAATCAAAACTCGTGGCAGAGGTGATATCTTTTATTAGACCAACTAGATATTTGCAAAAAAAAATTTTAAAGACAAAAAGTTTTTGCAAATATCTAGTTGGTCTAATAAAAAATATCACCTTTGCCATGAGTTTTGATTGCTTTTGGATCAAAGCACCCCAAATTTCTGCACATTCCAAACCTCAAACCTACAGAGATAATCTGTATTTGCATATACAATCTAGCTAGTTATCATTTTTTCCTGCAAGGAAAATGCAGGGTACTTAGGGTGATCACGTGTCTCCTAAAAAAGATGTCTTATACTGGAGTCTCATGGTTTTTGTGTCACAGTCTTTGAAAACCACTGTATACTAATCATCTGAAACAGCCAGGTACCAGTGAAGCAAGTAAAACCAGTGGAAGGTAGGCTGAATACAGAACAGTGGGTCTCAATCTTTTTGAGCTGCAGCCCAACTTCCAGTTAGCTTTGGTCGCTGGAAGTTGCCACTACTTCTGATCCAAACACATCCAGAGTAACTAAACATCGGTGGGGTTCATCATCCCCTTTCTAAGGGCTATGATACCATTTCATGTTGGGACCCCTGATTTGGGAACCACCAATGCTCTCAAAGCTCTCCAGAAGCTGCACTGTCATATATCATCCTGGCTTCTAAAGAAAATGTCCCAGGAAGAAATACTGCATAAACCTGAAAGAGGTTTCAGTTGAATTTAAGACAAAATCCAATACCTCTGTATAATAAAGAGCAAGAGAAGAGGAGAGAAGAGGGAGCAAGAGAAGAGGAGAGGGAAAGGGAGGAAAATAGTGAAAAGAATAGGTGCTTACAAAAATATATATCAATATATCATCCCCCCACAGCTATGTGTACACTTTGATGATTCTGTAACTTTACTCACTGTGGGCACACAGACAAACACACGTGATAAATTCATAACAGTATCCCCCCCACACACAGTTAGAGTTCTTGAAACAATATGAAGTTGTATTTTAATAGTACAAGGCAGAAAAATAATTATGTACTTAATAATTTTTAATTGGATTTCACAGAGAATCTTTAATAGCTAGTAAAATTAACACTGACTTTGTTGACTCAAGTTCTTTCTGGCCATTGCCAACCCCAGAGAAACAGAACATTACAGGAAGCTTCAATCAATGCTGTACAGGGGAAAGCTCATAAAAAAGGGGAAGCAGTAACTTTACATATTCACCGTATGCACTCTTAGACTGAACATCTGCTTTGCAGGTAGCAGCAGCAATGCCATTAATAATGGAGGGACACTGCCAAAGGCAGAAGAGAACTTCAGGTGGCTGCATTCTGAAGTCCAATCTGATCCTAATGTGGTATTTTTACACACAGAAATGGGTCGCACATCAGCACAAACCTTGCTGTATTTATATTAATTTCTATGAAATTCTCTCTTCAGGCTTTTCTCTTTGTACTTTCTAGCAACTTGTAGGCATGAATTATTAAATGGCAAAATTACAGCATGTATAAAAGACACAAGAGAAATAAATGCAGGAAGTGCTCCTCTTCAGGAGTATACTAGAACATGCAGGACTTTTGGAGACAAGTGTTATTCTGTGACAATAAAACAAATTACTGATCTCTTCATTTCAGAGGATATCTTTTGTCATGTGACTGCCTGTCAGTGACTTATTCCACATAACAATATTTTCATATTAGATCGGGAGTGAATGGAAAGAAAGAACACCACCACCACGAAAACTAGGCAGGTCATATTCACAAGGTAGTTGCTTCTGGAGTCTTGCCAAAATGTTTGGTAAGACACGTGCCACACATGCTTACCTGTTTTCAGACACTTGATCAAATAACGTAAGAATCAGTGTCCAAATGATTCACTGTGGTGACTGTTAATACAATGGGGAAAAAAAGCAGGAGGGACTTGGGCAAGGAAGTTAACCTACATGATATTTGGAAAAAGATCCTACATTCTGAACTAAACTTATCAAATATAAAACATTAGCTAACTTCTAA